TGCGTGGTGCACCCGAACCCGTGGCGCACGTGGCACGTGCGGCGTTGCCAGGCGGCGTGCGGAGCCTCGGGTGCTACTCATGTGTTGGGGGGGCGGGTGGGGTGAGCGAGACGGCTTGTGGGCAGAGGGGGTGTCTTGACCCCTCCCCCTACCCCCTACCCCTGGGCCCGGACGAGGGGGTGTCGTGAGCGGTCATAACCAAAGACGGCCCCAAGGGGGCTCTAGATTGCCCAAGATGGCCTGCAAGGTGGGCCAAGATATCGCAAAGATGGTTCACGATATCACGATAGTTTCAATTCCAGAGCCTCCGAAGGAGGACCCAAGAGGTCTAAATGTTTGTTTGCAAAAAAAGAACGGCAATGTTAATTAGTTGCCTTATCCCCTTTCGCTTCCGATTGGCTTTAAGGCCTCGAGATGGCTCCAGTAAGGCACAAAAGGGCCCCAAGAGATGCCCAAGATGGTCTGAAGACCGTTCCGGATGCGCCCGAGAGGGCCCCAAGAGGGCCGCAAGAGACGACTTTTGAGGCTCCGGAGGGGCAGCGCTGCTTACGACCCTCCCCTGTCCTTGATCGATGTCCGCCAAAATGGCCCCAGGAGGGCCTCCGAGGCTCCCGAAAGTGCCCCAGGAGAGCCCCAAGAGGGCCTCGAAGGCCTAAGCCGCTCCCGCTGGACACTCCCCAGAGCGCCCAAGAGCACCCCAAGAGGGCCCCAAAAGCGAGGTTCGAAGTCCCAGAGGGGGGACAATCTCGAATGGGCCTCAACTATTCCCAATAAGGTACCGAGACATCTTCAAGAGGGCTCTGGAAGCAGCCGAGATGGCCCCAAGCGAGCCACAAGATGGCTCCTAGAGACCTTCCGGAGCTCCCAGGGCACAGGCCCGCCAATGAATTCATGCTGAACCGTCAAAGTTATCATCACTATCGCCTTCTCACCCATCCTTCTCCTCCTCTTCGCCCTCCTCCTCTTCCTCGGCATCATCTTTCTCCACCCTCCTCCTCCTCCTCCTCTTCCTCTTCCTCCTCATCCCATCCCTTCCCCTCCTCCAACCAGGATTAACCAAAAGATGAGAACGTGTTCATTCAAGCTCATCTTCCATGTGATCGCCGTCTTCCTCCTCCTGCTCATCCCAGTCCTTCTTCAACATTCCTCCTCCTCCTCTTCTTCCTCCTCCTACTCTCCTACTCTTCATCCTCCTCTTCCACTTCCAGCCTCATCATCATCATTCTCATCTGCCTTGTCTCGCTCGACCGGTCTGTGAAGGCACATGTGTCTCACTCCTGGGTCTGCTCAGGCTGCTGCGCGAAGCGCTAAGAAAATGTCACTGGTGTCGTCGTTGCTGGGAGGACGTGTCCGCCATGGGAGCTGGGGTTGAACTGGCAGTGCACTTGCGGTGGGCGAATCTCCCTTCTCGATGGACGACTTTGGCCGCTGTACATGCCCAGCCGACGTCCGATCGTCCGCGCGCGCGTCTCAGCGCACTTGGCTGGCTAAACTGGCCAGCTGCCAAAGATGACAGAAATGGGCGCCATCCCTGCATCATGTTGTCGGCAGCGAGCGAGGGGGGAAATGAGAAGGAGAAGGCCTTCTCAGAAGGCGGCGGGACTCCTCAGAAGGCCTCTAGCCTTCTTAGAGGCTCTGTGCGGCTTCGGGAAAGGCTTAGAAGACTTCTCAGAAGGCCGGGGGACTTCCGAGCCTTCCGAGAAGCCCCCCCCCCTTCTCACTTCCCCCCCTCGCTCGCCGCCGAATGTTGGCGGAGTGCGCAACTCCACGCTGGCGCAGCCGCCTTGGACATCGGGCCGCCGAAACAAACGCTGGCGCACGTCGCGGTGCAGCCGACACAGGTCACGCTGTGCTGCTGAGGCTCTCTGACCGAAGACCAGAAATGCGATCCCAAACACTGGGTATCTCCGATCTTTTGGCGAACCCGAGGGGGAGGTGAGAAGTGGCGGGCCCTCTCCGAAGGCTCTGAGAAGTGTTCTGTAAGCCTTCCCGAAGGACACACATAACTTCTCAGAAAGCGCGAGGCCTTCTGAGAAGTCCCGCCGCCTTATGAGAAGGCCTTCTCCTTCCCACTTCCCCCCCTCGCTCGCCGCAGAATCTCACACGGAGGGCCAGGGGGACACCTTTGTTGGACTCTCCCCGTTCGGCTTCCAGGGTATTCTTCCTGCGGTGCCCCTCTCCCGCCGCTATGCTTCAGCCCGCCCGCCCCAGTTGCTGTCGCTCCCAAATGCCAACTCTACTCCACCCTGGGTGGTTATGGCCCCCCGAATGCGAAAAACTGATGATGCGCCGCACGCGCAGGATTGACACTTGTCTTTTCACGTGTCCCTTATCTCCCCGCGGTGCTCCTCGGAATTGTGAACAACTCGACCATCCCGCAACCATCTGGCCAACCCCGGCCAACCATCCCAGCCAACCCTTGCAACCGACCCTGGGTAGGGTTTAATTCTTTCCGTGCGATATTCGCAACCGTGCCGTATGCACTGAGAGGAGTCCCCCCAGGTCCCTTACAGTCCTCTGCGTTAGAGAATATGTTATGCTCTCAGGTGCCCAAGCCCGAGAATGCCAGATGTGTTGGAGATCCCCGCGTTGCTCTCAGGACTTGTCGAGTTGTTGTCCCAAGACGGTCCAAGAAGGTCCGAATCGCCCCGAGGGCACTTCAGGACGCCCAGATGATCTCGGGGCGGCCAAAGAGGCGCCCACGACGCCCAAAGAGGACCCCGAGAGTGCCCTAAGAGGGCGCCAAGAGGCAGAATTCACGGACTTCCCAAAACTCATTGACTCTCTCGCCACGCTTTTTCGAACCTCTGATCGCCCATGACGGGCCAAGAGGCCCCCAGAACCCAAGAGCCCCCAGCGTGGCAAACAAGACGGCCTAAGAGGGCCCCAAGACACCCAAACTTTGGGTGTCTTGGGTCCCAAAGTGGACCGCAATTCGGCCACATAGGCCTCCAACAACGCCCTAGAAGCGCCCAAGAGGGGGGCCCCGAACTGGCCTTGGGGGCCCTTCTCCCGAAATATGGCCCTCAACGTCCAAACGCCCCTCCCACCCCCCCACAAAAAAAACGCGAGGTCAAACATACGCCCCCCCCCCAAAAAAAAAACAAACACATTCACACACACACACACACACACACACACAAAAATACACACACACAGAAAAAAACACCCGGCGAGGTCAAACACGCGCCCCGAAGGAGGCCTCCACCCGCCCACCCGGAGGCCCCGAGGAGGCCCGCAGAGCTCCCTGTCAAGAGACCTCCGAGCGGAACCCCAAGAGGCCCCAGGAGGCATCCCAAAGGCGCCTGGCCCACAACTAGGGGAACAGAAAGTGGCATAAACATAAAAACTCGGAGATCCGCGCGGATTTCTCGGATCGGCGCTGGGGCCCCCCGGCGGCGCCTCCGGCGCCGCCTCTGGCGCGCTCCGCGCGCCAGGGATGGGGTCCAGCGCCGATCCGAGAAATCCGCGCGGACCTCCGAGTTTTTATGTTCATGTCACTTTTTGCCCCCCTAGCATCCCAAAGGCGCCTGGCCCACAGCCCAGGCACCTCGGCGGGCTGCCCAAGACCCAGAGCCGCCGCCTCCCGTGGCCTGCCCGCAGGATGACTGGCGTGCCAGCTCTGAAAACCGTGCTTGGCTTCTCTCGCCCTGCCGAGAAGTTACCAGCGGGGTCTCGGCACATGCCGCTGGCCCCCCGCACGGGCCCCCAAATCAATACGTTCTGATTCCAAGATAGCCAGAACCCAATGTGGCCTCCATGACGATCCCCAAGTTGCCTTGCGCCGTGGATCCCGCATGGATGCGCCGCAGATTGCGGCAGGCACCGCGTCATACAACGTAGTCACGATTTTCTGGTGACTGTCCCTTCCAACATTTCTAAAATACCCTACGGCACTCGCCATTGAGGGGGAATCACTGGCACCCAGACCGCCCAGGAAGGAACGTACAAGAAGACTCAATTTGAAAAACAGCGACCTTGGGGCCAGATCTTGGCATAACGTCGCCAACCTGGCCACCAGGTGGCCCCAAGACACAACAGCGGGGTGACGATGGCTGAGGGGTCCGACCAGAAAACGGAAGAAGATCCCAAAGGGAAAACAGCAGCGCCTTTGAACACGAAGAAGAACCACCATGCGATGGAGTAATAGATACCGATGCCGCTACTCCACGGCCCTCTCCTGGGGTGCGTTCTGACCAGAACGTCAAGGCGAATCCAACCGTGGCGACGAGAGAAGGGTAATAGCATCGGTATCTTCTCCTCGGCACCGTCCCCTCCTTTGAGTTCATAACATGGCATACAAATCGAAACTACCAGAAGTTGAGATCGAAGTCTGGCTTCCAGAGGCCTCCCAGATAGAGTCCGAGCAGATGGGGTCGGAGGATAGCGCCGCATCCCCGATGCATCGCCGATACATCGGCGATGCACCGGCGACGTCGCCATTGTGTCGGAGACGTCGGCGTGAAAAGATCGGGCTCTACGTCGAGCCTCATCACCGATGCATCGGCGATGTCTCGCGACCCTGCGACCCCATCTACTCTGACCCAACCCGGGAGGCCTAGAGCTTCTAGAGGAACAACAAGCGGCATAAACAGAAACTTTCGGAGGTCCGCGCGGACTTCTCGGATCTGCGCTGGATCCCCCTCGCTGGCGCGCGGAGCGCGCCAGGGGCGGCGCCAGAGGTCCCGCCTGGGGGGCCCTGACGCCGATCCAAGACATCCGCGCGGAGCGCCGACAGTTCCTGTTTCTGTTTCTGCCGCTTTTTGGTACTCTTCGACTAGAGCGTATGACGGGAGCGGCCAAGAGGGGGGCGTCCAAGAGGGGGGGGGGGCGCAAATCATGGCTGGAGGCATGTGCGCGGCCCAATTGGGGGGGGCCAGGGCCGTAATGAAATAAGAAGAGGCGCCGCGAAATCTGGGGAAATATCATGGCCCCCGCCATGATATCCGCCCCCCCTGGTCATCACCCCCCCTCTTTGCCGCCCCCGAGTATGACTGGACCTACGCCATGGCCCACTCCGGGGCCGCGCACGGCCCGTGGACCTTCTCGAAGAGCCGCACGGCGTTGCTCAGGGCCATGCGCGCAAAGGGCAGGTCCTGCACGGCCGAGAGGTGCTGCACCGCCTCTTGGGGGGAGGACGGGCGGGACCCGCTGTACCCTCCGGTGCGGGGAGCCATCGGCCCTCGCCAAGCCTTAGGTCGGGCGTGTCCCCCCACAGGGGGATTTTCGACGAAAGATAAAAATACCCAGATGCCCCAAAATACTCGAAAAATAGTCCCCTTACTATTTTTTCTGTATTTTCGAGTATCCCTCTTGTAGGGGGACAGACCCGACTTAAGCCAAGCCTCGTGCCCGACCGCAGCCCCTGCACGACGCTGCGCGTGGGCTGGAGAGGCACCGAGGTCGCTCCCAGCTGACTGAGCTCCCTGGCCGAAACTCGTTGGAGAAGCTCTCTGCGAAAGAAAACCGTAGAGTGGCCACGGGCATCACCGCCACCCTGCTTGGACAAGGGATCCTCCAGGGTCTGAGGCCTCCCAGGCACATTCCTTCACGAATGCCCCCCCCCCGGGTCAGGCACGGATCCGGGACGCAAAGCTACCCCCCAGAGAAGGGGTCGGGGACCTCTGGGGCCGCCGACAGAACAGTCGCATCGGCGGGCGTCAGGTTCCCCACCCCTGCAACGGGTGAGCGACAGATCCAGGAGGAACTCAGCGCGAACACTCGCGCCGCCCGCAGTGCTCCATGTCGGCGGTGGGTTGAACGAGTTGCACTTCGACCGCAGCCTCCCCCGCGCTGGCCAACTTCGAGCTGTGCGGGGGAGGGGGAGTCTTGTGTCCACGAACTGTTCCCCTCTGCCGCATCCCCGCACGGAGCAGAGGTTGAACTAAGGAATCAAACTCTATACACAGACGCTTTTTCCGGCCCTGCGTTGGAATTTGCACCGGAGAGCGGATCCTGGTGTATACGGGACCCTGGTATATACATTGTTCGTTATTTTCCCGGGGCATCGGGGAAAAAAGTATACACCACACCGCCCCATCGTCGTCCTCGACCCTCGAGAAGTCCTGGGATTGAGAAACAGCCCGCCACTGGTAATGTACATGTTCCAGTTTCCGATGCACGCCCACTGCAAGCGTACAGGCGTGCAGGGCAGGGCGCAGACACACAGGTGCACCTGCAGTGGGCGGGGCGCCTACCCCCTTCCAGGGCCTGCTGGGCCGCCATGTTCACGGAGTCGGCGAACTCCCCAGGGAGCTTCTCGGCGCCATCGAGCACCTCGATCAAGCACCAGAGGGCAATGCTGACCACGGATGCATGGCTGGAAGAAGAAAAACGGCATCAGCATAAACTGTTGGCGCTCCGAGCGGATTTCCTGGATCTGCGCTGGACCCCCCTCCCTGGCGCGCGGAGCGCGCCAGAGGCGGCGCCGGAGGAGCCGCTGGGGGAGCCCAGCGAGGATCCAAGAAATCCGCGCGGAGCGCCGAAAGTGTATGCTTATACCGTTAGTTCTTCTTCGAATGGTACTGCATGTCCTGGACAATGCTCACATTAATAGCATGATCCACCGCATCGCACGCCTTCTTCACGGCCCACCGGATGACATCATGAGGCCAATTGTCCTGGGAGGAATCACCGTGCCAACCATATCAATTGGACCGCCTGCTTCTGGACTGGCGGTCTGTTCTCTCTCATCCCTCCTGTGTCCTCCAGGCTATCGCCCCCCCTCTTCTCGACTCTGAGCCAATTCCCCTCATCTACCTGCATTCCTTTCCTTCGCCATTTACTCCTCACCTCATCCCATCCTCTCATGTCTTATTCCACGTCCCCGCCCCCCTTTCTTTCAGCTCCAATCGTTTCCCACATCTGCACATCTCGTTTCCGCTCGTGGCCATCGTTGTATATCCGTCTTCTTCCCCTGTTTTCTATACATCACCCCAAACTAGAATACTGCTTGACTGAAAGATCTCCCGTGAGTCGTGCATCGCACGTGCCAACCACTCAACGTTCACAGCACATCGTGCTTCTTACCATGCAATCAGCCTTATAACAACTTTGCCAACTCTTCTGGTAACCTGTTGCAGAGGGGCGAGGCAAATCGCAGGGGTGATGATTGTCTCGCGCGCGCCAGGAAAGTCACGAGGCCGATGCACACAATGGCTCGAGGGACCTGACCCGGGTCCCGCCCAGGGGGCCATCTAATACTACATGTAGCCCTGTTTTTGTTCTACAGTCGGCGCGTATTATAAGGATGCGCGATAAGGATGCAAGGGCCTTGGACGCCCATTTCGGAGCTGTTCGAGCGGGGCGCGGCCAACGAACGTGGCCAAGCATGGGCCGATGAGGCAAGGATGCAAGGGCACCCTTGGGGAAATTGCCTATTCTTACCATGCGGTTTCACTGTATGAGTTTCTGGACCCAGTCAAGAACGCCCCGCGTATGAGTCGCACGTAGCCAAGCGTGGTTGGGGGCAGGCCAACAAAGCGCCGCGATGTTCCGAAC